GGCCGGACACAGGTAAGGGCCGCTCCTCCCCGGCGGGGTGGGACCGGCCACCCGGAGCCCCTGCCCGGCCTCGCCGCCCCGGGACCCGGAGCTCCCGCACCCCTGCCGGGGCCGGGGTCGCCCCTGCCTGCCGCCTTCTCTGGTGTCACGGCTGGGGGCCGGCGCTCGGGCCCCCCCCCCCCCGGGGGCGCTCGGCCTCCCGCCGCCCGGGAGGTGTTACTTCCATTGTGGGAGCGATTACTCCGGCAGCTGTCTGGGCGTCGGGTGCCCCGTCCTCCTCCTGTCTCCCCAGACGCCCCACGATCGGTGCTGTCCCGGGACAAGTGCCCCCCGGGCGGTGTCAGGCCGGTGGAGGGCGTAGCATTGTGGGATTTTCCCTCTCCTTGACCCCAGCTGGAGCGCGGGCTTATTAACAGTTTCTCGCCAGGAGGGTCAGGGTTAACCCTTGACTAATTTGGGGTGTTATTCACACCCACATTGTTAAATTATATAGCTCCAGCCAGGCCTGGCTTTGCTTTGCTGTGGATAGCCAGCAGGACTAGCAGGGGGACCTAAGGAAACTCAACTTCTTTTCTTTCTTTTTTCGGGGGAGAAAAGTTCAAGTGTTTGCTCTGCTTTTTTCCACTGTGGGAGAGGCAAATATCTGGCTGTCGAGACTTGGCTGGAGAAATATTGTATCCTAAACTTTAACTGTTTGTAGCTCGTTTTCTTTTGTTTTCTTTTTAATGACTCGGCCTTTCTACCATCAACAAAAAAGCTGTAGAGTAGGGTAGTTGACTCAGGAAGACATGTAAGGATAACAGAATGGCTATTAATTTTTTTAAAAATGTTTTTCTCAATGGGAGGAGCATGTGAATGCAGTAATGGAGAGCAGGGTGTTTGATGGATAAGTTCGTAATCAGTGTTAACAGTAACATGTTTTTCCAGATAAGATTTTATTTGGGGGCAGTGAATCTGTATGAGAAGGTGCAGTTGTTGGAGAATGCAAAATATGGCAGACAGCTAGTGAGTTTGCTGTGGTCTGAAAGGCTTCACCGAATTTACCCTATTGAACCACCCTCACACTCTCTTTCTCATACAGAGACTACGGCTTTACAACGTATAGAAAAAGAATTTTGGAAAGTGTGATTCATTTAGGAAGTTAGGTCATTCACTTTGTGAATCATTGATTTGGATCTTAAAATTGAGATACAGGAAAGCCAAGTTTGTTTTTGCCTGTTGACTTAGATGTTTTTACTGATTTTATAGAATGTGTTGTATTTTGTTGTTTGTTGCTAGATATTTGTTGACATGAAATGTGGTAAGGAAATAGACACTGAAGTTTTGTAGAATGCATGCAATTAGGATGGTTGGTTAGTTCTTAAGTGGATTGCTGTGATTCACCCCCTCCCTTTTTTTTTTCCCCCTTCCAGATGTGGGAAGATAAATGGAGGGATCTAGAAGCAAACTAAATGCCAGTGGAAAGGAGAGCTACCATCCTTAAGGTATAAAAAAGTTCCCTGAAAGAATTTGCACTATACAAAATAGCCTTTTAAATAGAAAACCTCATATATTTTTTGTGATTCTGTCTTTAAAAATGTAGAGAGTGCCGCAGTTTTTATTTGAGTTCTGTTACGGAAGAAAGTGTGTATTGAAGTTGTGATTTATTATTAGAAAGAGGATTAATTTAAGACTAGGAAATTTTTTTTTTATTGCTGAAATGTAACTTGATCATTTTTGGCTTTCTTTAAGGGTTTTTTTTTTTTTTTTTCTTGGGGGGGTTTTTGCTATAGGGTACTTGCACTCACCAGAAAGACAGAGAGACACAGAGAGACTGAAAGTGAGAAATCACCCCCCAGGGGGGATGGCCACATAGCAATCCCTTCTCAATTCTCCTGTCGGGATCTTGGGCACATACAGACAGGAGCCCAGAAGATGTTGTTAACCAGTCATCCTTCTTTTTGGAATTTAGCTTATTTTACCTTGATTTCCATTTGTAAAGAACTTTAGTTAAAGTTAATAGCAAGTTTATCCTCTTGGTCTTCCTTAGTAAATTCCTTTAATTCTTTGACTAAATTTTGGCACCTTTTGGCTTTGGATAGCCCTTCTAATATTCAGTGTTCCCTAATGTGCTTTTAATTTTTATCCAGCTAATAGTGACTTAAGAGTTTCAATTCCCTGTGAACAGATTTCCTTTTGGAAAATCCCTTGTGGAAATCACCAAAATTGATGGTCTCGCTAGGTAAATATGAAGAGAAACCTTAGAAAACCATGTCCATAATAAAAGGGGAAAGCGATATGGAGCTTACATCTTTGGCAAAACATCTTCTCTGTCTCAAAACAAAAACACATCTTCACTAGAAATGAATTCAGCAAAGAGAGGGAGTCATTTCTTGCATGGGTCTTTGTGAGTTGTTTACCCTGCTTCTGTATGAAAAGGAGGAGTTGCTGTTTAGGGGGAAAAACACCAAAAAACAAAAAGCAATTCTTGCAGCACACTGGCAATATTGATGAGATCGTTCGAAAGGAAATAAACTTCTGGTCTTACCTACAGAGCACTATATACAGCTCCTATAAAACAGAGGCTGTTTCATGGCTTTTGCCTTTTAGGTAGTTGCTTTCTCTCTGGAAAATCTAGTGGAGAGATGGTCCATTAATCAGGAAAACATTCTACTCTTTCCAATTTGCAAATAGAGAATAGACTATGACCGTCATTCAAAACTCAGTTTCTGAAACTTGAGAAAGAAGGAATTGAGCAGAATTTACCTTGTGGGTAAAATAACATTGTCTTTTTTCTGGTTTTTATTTTGTTTTGTTTTCCTCTAAAAGAATGGTAAGAAATCCTTTGAAAATGATTTTTGGTGTTGCACATAGGGCACGTGTGCTTGCCAGAAAGACATTACGCTAACTGCTGGTCCCATACTATAAAACTTTTAAAACTATTTGGTCTGTGATAATTAGGCCAAACTTAAAAGGAATAAAACACAGGGCCAGCAGATGGCATAATGGTTATGTCGCTGGCCTCCCACACACCGCATTCTGAGTCCTAACCCAGAGGCTTAAAACTCACGCCAGGCACGTGTGCGTGTCTGCCCAAAATCCCAAGAGGAGAATGAAGGAGAAGGAATTGCAGCATGGTTATCCCGCCTAGGGAGTGATTCCTCACTTTCTGCCTCTCTGCCTTTCTAGCGAGTGCATGCGTACTATAGCAAAAACAAAAACAGCTCTCTAAAAGAAGGAATAAAACACTAGATTAAAAACTGGATTTGTCACGTGTTATGCTTTTTCATTTGTTTCATTATTTATCTTGGGAAGAGAAGAGAGATGCGTTTCTTGGAGAAACTCTGAAACTTGCTAGCTATGTATGCTTTTGATTTAATCTAGTGGTAGAAAGCAGTGGATTTTCATAAAGGAGAGATGGTTAGAAAGGGGCCAGAAATGGGACCAGCAGATGGTGGAATGGTTACGTTGCTAGACTCCTGCATAGGCCACTGTTGCTCGAGTCCCGCACCTGGTGGCTTCAAACACACAATGGGTGTGTGTGTGTGTGCGTGTGCGTGCGTGACCAAAATCCTGCGAGGAGAATGGAGGAGAAGGGATTGTGGCGTGGCTATTTCCCCTCCTGGGAGGTGATTTCTCTGTCTCTCTGGTGAGCACATGTGCCCTGTGACAAAAATCTTTCTTTAAAAAAAAAAAATAGAAGGGGCCAGTAATGATATATATAGAATATATAGAAGGAAAATGTTCACTTTTATGGGTTCAATAGATATTTGTGGTACATTTTATATTGGGTTGTCGGGAAAGTCATGACAAGTTTTTGCATAGAAAAAATATGTCCTGATGCCCTGATATTTGATAAAGCTTTTAAAAAGAAAACATTTTGTGGTGAAAAGGAATTCTTCTTTCCACTGCAAACTCCCAGCCTTTCCTTATCCCCACATATGAATCAAGCTTCCAGTGTTCATATTTCTTGTGTGTCCTGGTCAGGTTTTCTATTACATATGCACTCTTAACCTTGGAGATCTTTCTATACTAGCACGTATATGCGTCTCACTTAAAATAAATTATTTCTTTCATAAGAGAAAAGGACAGACAGACGTAGAGGCAGTTACTCCCAGCAGGGTCTCTAAACTGTGATCCGCTCCCAGCCTTAACCAGCCCCAGTCACCACTTGGATGCGCGCCTGCCTTCATGTATAGGGAGACTGGGGAAAGTGAGCATAGGACCCTCCCAGGTGGGTCCATCTGTGTGTTCACTGCAGCACCATCTGGCCCCCATCTCATTAAAAAATATATATATGTTTTTATTTATTATTACTTTATTCTCCAGGGAGATACAGGAAAACTGAGAAAGCAAACTGCCAGATCTGGGATTTGAACCACGGTTGGCCATGTAGGGGTCCAACACCTTAATCACCACGCCACCTGTTGGCCCCACAGTTTTAAAAAAGATTAGATGGGAGACAGATGCGTCTAACCAGTGGCGTGGTGGCTAGGCTGCTTGATTCCACAGTGCTGACTGTACAGTCTGAGTCCTGGACCTAGTGGATCAAATAGCACTCCTGCCTTGTGCGTTTGCATGCCCAAAGTCCTGAGAGGAGAGTGGAGGAGAACCGGGTGGCCATCCTCCTCAGGAGAAGGGGTGCTTTCTCACATGCTTTCTCACTGTTTCGCTCAAGTGCACGGTAGTAAATTAAAAAAAAAAAACAAAAAACTGGATGTCCTGACTAGTATAGATCAACCATAATTTATTTATTTTCTGTCATTTATTTTACCATTTTCCATTAATTAGGCTTTTTTTTTTTTTTTTGGGAGAGATTTTCACTGTAGGGCGCGTGCGCTCGCCAGACAGACAGAGAGAGACATAGAGACAGAAAGTGAGAAATCACCCCCCAGGGGGGATGGTCACGCCGCAATCCCTTCTCCTCCATTCTCCTCTCGGGATCTTGGGCATGCACGCACACGCGCCCGGCGTGAGTTTTAAGCTACTGGGTCCGGGACGCGAACCGCGGTCGACTACGTGGGAGTCCAGCGACATAGCCATTACGCTAACTGCTGGTTCCTCCATTAATTAGGCTTTTCACCTTCTATAAATACCATCATAATTAACAACACAGAAGTTTTGGACTCCCATAAGTATGTATTTCCTTTTTTTTTTTTTTGGATAGAGATTTTTACTATAGGGTGTGTGTGCTTGCTGGAGAGACAGAGACAGGAATCACTATATCACTATCCAGGGGGATGGTCACGCCAAGATCCCTTCTACTCCATTCTTCTCTAGGAACTTTGGGCATGCACACACATGTACCTGGTGTAAGTTTTAAGCCACTGGGTCTGAGACTCGAACCACAGTTGAGTATGTGAGAGTCCAGTGATGTAACCATTATGCCATCTGCTGGTCCCTGTATATGAATATATTTCTGAAAGTATGATTGATTGTAAGGTTAGTACTTAAATTATACAAATTTAAAAGTTGTTTCAATCTTACATTGGTCTGTCATTTTTTTTGGAGAGGTTTTTGCTATAGGGTGCGTGCACTTGCCAGAAAAACAGAGAGACAGAAAGTGAGAAATCACCCCCTGGGGGGATGGCCACGCCTCAATCCCTTCTCCTCTGTTCGCTTCTCGGGATCTTGGGCACGCATGCACATGCACCTGGCGTGAGTTTAAGCCATGGGGTCCAGGACTTGAACCGCGGTCAGCTACATGGGAGTCCGGTGACATACCCATTACACAAACTGCTGGTCCCTATATTGGTCTGTCTTTTATGATATTTAACTTCTTTCTCAAGCTTGGGGAATGAGAAAGAAATTCTTAATAATTTTGTATTCTTTATGTAATTCTCTATTTAAACAAAGTTGCAAATGTGTTTTGTAAAGTAATTTAAAACATTTTATAGTGTCGGACAGTTAATTTTATTTGTACTGTAAGAGTAAAAGTAGTATAGTTTGAAGAGCGTTGCTATTTATACAAGTCATTTATATTTGGTAATAGTTAAATGGCTATATTTTGTGGTAGCTTGTTTCAGAAGTTTATGACTAATATCAATTACAAGCTTTGTTTATAGTTTAACTTCTCGTTTTGCTGGAGTCTACTCCTGTGTTATTAGTCACAAAGGAATAAATAGCCCATCTTCTCTCTCTTTTTCCTTTACCTTCTGTATCCTGGTCTATTCCTGAGATAAACCTCTGTGGAGCTCGAGATCCAAAAATATTTTTGCACACCAGAGTGCTGTGGATCACTTAATTTCTCAAGGCAGGAAGTAGGTACGGATTCAGTTTTTATCCTGCAAATTGTTCGTGAGCAAAGTAAGGGAGGTTTAAGTTTTCGTTTTGATATTGTACAGCTCTCTCACGGCCAGGAGGATGTTCAGGCCTCTTTGTCCTTTTGAAATGAGAGAGATTAGAGGAAAAAACGAAGTGCTGAGGGGCTAAAGTAGAACGAAGTCGGAACTCGTGAGTGGTAGTCGTCCTGGCCCCTGCCCAGGGTCTATTTTGAGGCCTTGTC